CCGGACAGGTGGCAGGATGGGAACGGGGTCTGCGAGCAGCGCGACCCAGGCTTGGGAAATTCCTGGAGTTTTCGTAATTTGAGTGAGTGTGGTGCCCGCTGTGGTAACAGCGCAGTGTCGGGACAGCTTCCTCTTACCGGTCGTTGCTTCATTTCCAAAAACCTACCTCATTTGAAAAAATAAAATACTATTTTTAAAAGTGCTTGAGCCATCACCTGTTTGCTTTTGGAAATGACAGGCACATGCAGGGTTGGTTTCTCTGTTCCTTGATTTTTTTTCACCAGGCTAAAAAACCAAACCAAAACTTTATTTTTAAATATTTTAGTTCTGAGATTAGAAAGGGCCAAAATCTTGTCCTCTGCTCTGCAAACTTGCTTTGGACAGAGAAGTGGTAACAGTACAGTACAGAAGTAGAAATGTGATCCTCAGGCTACTCTGTGATGTATAAGTATTTAAAATCTTGCTAGGGCATTTTAAAATAATATGTTTAAATCAGGGAATATTTGAAATTGTTAAAAAATAAATCAGCTTGTCAAGTCAGCTTAAGTTTCGTGGTTAGTTTTCATCTCTGCATTTCCTACCTGTTTCAAGAGTAACGTGATACATTTCTGCTGGAGAGTGTTAGCTTGTACCGTATGTCGTATCTGGAGAAGTTGTGATTAAAGGGTACAGTTATGTTCTTTTTCTGATTAAGAGATAAGTGCTCCCCGTGTTTTACTTAATTGTGTTATGTAAAGTAGAGAGGATCATTAAGGTAGAGCGATCTTTGGGATTGGTTCAGTGGGAATAGTAATGTAATTGGAAATTAAAAGCCATGTCCATGACAACATTAGGCTCTCTGAAACACAAACTGATGTATGAGGAGTAACATACAGCTCCGTTTCCTCAGTCATGGAAGTAGTATTTCTTACAACTGTCATAACATTTTTCTAAGTACGCTGTTATAAATACAGCCATGGATATATTTATCCTGTCACCTTCATTCCAATCATTGCAGCAAATACTGGTAGAATGAAAGCAACAGACTTGGGAGGAAATTTTCTCACTCGCTGTATTCCTTCTGCTGACTTCTCCCCTACACCTCCTGCAGCTCTTCATCAACTCAGCATCATAAGCTTAGATCTTGACTTGGAAGGCACTTCCCGATCCATCTTAGTGGTGCTACCGTCTTCGATGTGTATCACAAACATTGGAACCATCCTTTTTTAATAAATATATATAGAGACACACTCACATCTATATATATATAAAATTTTCATATTAAAGTCTTTCTGCTTTCTCAATGCTGTTTACAGTAGGAATGCTTTGGGGATTTCTGTCTCTTCCTCCAAGTTTTTTCAAGTGTTCCTTTTCTATTAAGCTTTCAAAAAAAGCCCAACAACAAACCACTTGGTGTCTTGACATGCTAAAGGCCTGACTAATATTTCCTTGTTATTGTTTTCTTTCTGCCTGAATCCCTCTGTCACTTGTTTACATATTTAAGTTGTGAGTTATTTGGGGTAGATAACTTCAGCTTACAATTACACTCAGAAATGAGTGAGAAGAGTCGCAGTATATGATAAGGAAGTGATGGAGGGGAGAAAAAGCTTCTCGTAACAGGTCTTGTTTATGATTGAGTCCTATTTTTAGTGTGCAGTTAAGTGCAGCAAAGGCAAGTCCTGTAAGATGTTAAACTTTTGGTGAAACGTATGCCAGCTGTGGCTGTAAATGGAGTGCAGCCTACCTCGCTCCCTAAATTAACCTCAAAACCCCATCAGAAGGCTGATATTGTTATTCCAAAACCAACAAGTTTCTTGGGAGAAGCTTGTATAAATACCTATTAGATTACTTTTATTTTTACTGCTTAAACATATATTCAGGATAAAACCATGGTATATTCTGGAATAGATAATCTTGCTGAATTACTCTAGGAAAACAGACTCCGCTTCCTTGTAGATGTGCCAGGTGCCTGACGAAAGGTTAGAAGCTACACACACACACACGTGTGTGTGGACAAGTGCTGTGTTTTTTGTCTGGTTTTGTGCAAACAGTTTTTGTTTGCGTGCCCTGGATGTGCACGTTGCAGGATTTTGGGCACTGCTGTATCACTGCTTTATTGGAATAGGGCCCCATAGGCTATATGACCTGAGGAGGGCAGTGTATATGTATTACAGCTCTCTTACACAGGTAAACGGGATCGTTTTATGTTTGCACCCTTCTCTCTCTCTGCAGCAGCCATTTGTTTTCATGGACTCCCACGCTTCTGGTGTCCCTCATGCTGTGGTTCACTGGAAACCTCAGGAAGTTACAACTGCCCATGCAACTGAAAGAGAGGAAACTGCCCTTGCCACCCTCTTGCCTGTTCTGAAGCTCTTGGTTGCACTGTGCACTGATAGGAAAAATTGAAAAATCCGGTGTTAAAGTCAGGGTGGCTCTGCTGCAATCTCAGCAGCTGCTGGGGTTGGGTTTGCATTTCCAGATCCCATCTCTCCCAAAGGAGAAGTCTCATCTTTTCCAAGTTATTTGCCTCCCCTCAGTTTCCCTGGGCAGAGCAGAAACTTGCCTCTGCTGAAGACTATGGTTAGGCGAAACCAAGAAGTCTTTCTGCTTCAACAGCTCTCCCCTTGCTACTGCTTGGACGAGGAACCTGAAGACTGCATGAAGGCGTCCTATGAGCTGAGCGGGTCCTCATCGTAATTTCTTCATTTTGTGACATAGAGCCTTACACAGATGGCTTGTTTTGCTAAGTCAGAGTGAAATTTGCTACTGATAAACCCCATTTTGTTTGGCCCAGAGAGCATCAAGATCTCCTCCAGTTTATCAGCTCTTAAGAGGGATGGTTAGTGATGGAAGTGTGCAAAATGCTGTTGCAGGTCTGATTTTTTGATGGACTGAGCCTGTTTTCCTTTGGGGAGTGGGTCAGGGAGATACTTTATAAAGTAATAGTGAGGTTTTGATGGGATAAAAGCATATGTGAGGTTATTGTGGTGTCAGAGGGTTTGGTGTCCTGCCACCACGCTCCAGCTGGCTCCAAAGCAGCCGTGCACTGCTGTGTCCCTGCGCGCCAATCCTGGCTGCTTTGAGTTAGGACTTGACTGGAGAGGCTTGATCATGGGCAGTGAGAAACAGGCCAGGCACTTCAGAGTGGCAGGACCTACAGTGTTTCTTTAAACAATATCCCTTTCCTATGTGTTTGCCTGTCCTCTCCATCTTTCCCCTTTCCTAAAGATGCTTTCCTGGCTTGCCCTCTTGCTTCATCTCACCAGTGTGTGTTAAACCTTAAGCTCCCGCTTGCCAGGGACTCACTGGCCAAAGACCACCAAGCAAGATCTTTTCAGCTTCTTCATAAATAGCTTTTTTTTCCCACTGAAATTGCTAGATTCTCATATCTATGCTTTATTGCTTATTGCACTTTTTCTGCGTGCGCCTCTTCTTCTCCCCCTTGTCTGCTATCTCCAAGTTTCCTAATTTTTGAATAGCGTACTTCTTGGTGTGCAGGTGATCACTGAGTCAAATTATAATCTGTGTTGGGAGAGCTCTGTGGGGCTGAGCTGGTCCAGCCTCTGTCTCGAAGCAGAGATAACGCCAGGGTTAGGTCAGGTTGCTCAGAAGCTTGTCCAACGGAGTTTTGAAATGAGGTATCTCATCCCACAACTGCACTTTCTGCTTATCAGCTGAATGAAACCCAACAGAGGTCTTGGGAAAGCTGTCAAAGGCTGGCTTAGCTCTCATTTCGTTGTTTCTTGCCATTATACCAAGCTGTCATAGCTGCTGCAGCTGTCTGGCTCTGTTTTATTCACTGTTTGGAAGGTAGGGTGGGTTTTTAAATTTTAGGGTTTATTAATGTAAGAGAAAACTTTAATGTAGAGCTGGTTTATATGTGTGGATACAAATATATATATATCCCTTACTGAAGTGCTTGAGGAGGTGAGGAAAACATTTACCCCTGGCTTGCATTGTTTGAATTTTGAGTCCGTGGTTTGTCTTGCTCTCAAGCTTGCCCTCAGTACCATTATTTCGGTCTCTTAACAAAGAATGGCTGCATCCACTGTTCCAAATGATGTTTTGGCTCCCAGTTATTACAAAATCTATTAATAGGAGATTTGAGGTTAGCTTGCTTAGAGTCTGCATAATGAAGTAGGATGGAGCTGTCTGATGTTGCTGTAATTTGTACTGCGTGTTGAACAGCTCCTTCCAGAGCACTTGGAAACTTTGTCTTTGCTCTCCTATCTCCATCAGAGATTTCAGGATCCTATTGCATGTTGGCAATTACTTTGCATAGCAATCTCGCTGTGTTTTGGATTGCATCTCTTAGATCATCGTTGTAGCAAGTACTTATTGCTAGTGTGATACTGTAAATTAACCCTAACATCAAAGGCATTTGTTATAATTGCAAAATAATCTCATTTTCCAGCATTTTTTCTGTTGTCTTCACTAAGAAAATATTTAAATATATAAGCAGAGTAATATGGTTAAATGGAAGAATTTTCCGTCCTTAAGGTACACAAATAAAATGCGTCAGAATTCAGAATTATGGTAGCAGCATTAATGCACCAAAACAGCTCTCTGTACCTTACAGTGCATATTGAGAACAGAAGTACAAAATGCGTTGCATGCATAGCCAGGAAAATAGGGTTATATTTGTAATATCTGGTAAAATAGGGTTGTTATTGTAATATCTGCTAATAATTTTAATCTTTAATGCCTTATTTGGCATTAAGCAAGGCATTAAAATAACCAAAAGGCTTTTTTGTAGTTACTGTTACTTCACAACCTGTCCAATATGGGATTAGTAAAAATTTTGTACTCAATCTTTGAAAAATTAATAGAATAGGCTCTTAAAATTTTAATCAGTATCATATCTTTGAGCAGCTTTTAACCTAGATATGTCACTCTTTGTAAAATAACAGACTTTTCAGACCATGATGAACAGAGATTTGGGTTATTGCTTTCTTGAAGATACAATGAGATCTCTTCAGCTGGAGTAAGTTTCAAGATGTCATTAAAAAAAAAAAGGCTCAATGTCCCGTAAGAGATGTTTCAGATGTTTTTATTTTAACAGGTATAATCCGAATACTTGCTTAGAAAAATGTAACTGCTTTGGTGTATTTTAGTGTGTTCCTTTGTTAGGTCCTGTAACTGGAGTTTTTTAACACATTTGAGCTGTATGAGTAGACACCTGAGGGAGTTGCAATGGATTCTGTTACCTTGAATCTAATAGCTTTTTATTTCTGCCATTTATTTTAGGAAACACTCCTTTACATCTTGCTGTGATGTTGGGACATAAAGGTAGGTAAAACCATCAATTTTGTTAACTCTTAAATTATCCTGAAGACTATGGGGCAAGAGGGGAGAAAAAGAATTTTCAGTTTTCCTGATGTGGTCTTATGTTTCAAGTTAGTTCAAAGTTGAGGTTTTCTGAAAAAAAGACGTTACATGGATTTAGAAAAGTTGAAGAAATCAGCTGTTCTTTAGGCCAAAATCCAGGAGCCAGGTGGTAAACGAGGTAGGCTGGAAAGAAGCTGTTAACGCTTGGGATTCTTTATGAGCCTGGAACAAGAACAGGGAGTGGACCCAGCCCCTCTCTTTTTGCAGAGTTAGAAGGAAATTGGGAAATTTGGGATATCGTAGAAGACTGAGAAACAGCTCTAACAGTGGAGGTGAGCACACGAATGCCTGCTTCCCCTTCAGTGTCCATGCAGCTGAAGAAAATGAATGTACTCGATATGTGTAGGCAGGGGCCTTGATCCAGATGCATCTTTAGCTTAATGTGCAATTAATTTCACACTATTTGCGCTGAAGGGTTATTAATTCCTGCTTGTGTGATGATACCTGTGCTCTTTGTCAGCACTTTTCCGGTTGTTAGTGTCACTGTGCGTTGATCTGCTCACAGCCCTATGTAGCTTTTACCCTGTGACATGAATCCAAGCAACGTCCTCCAGAATAAAGGGACTGAGTGGAAATGCAATTGCTCCTCTGCTTTTTCACACAGCCTTTTGCTCACTTGAGTCGAATTTCTGCCTGGCCGTCTCCTTGGGCTCCAGACTGCCCTATGCAGTACACAGGACAGCCTCAGGCTCCCATCTTCCCAGATACCCTTCGGGATTTCTTTACAGAAGATTTTTAGAGCACAGAATTTAAATTTCAACTCCTAGTAGAAATAGAAAGGATAGATGTAGACATGTTTCAGGATAAGGAATAAACCTGGAGTAGGATTGTTCAGTCCTTGTGACAGTTAAATTCTCTTTCATGGCTGAAACAAGAATGGTTTGGTTTCATTCAGCTGTGTGAATCCTGTGCCTGGTGTGCATCACTGCTCTGTCAGAGCTGCTGTTAACCAAAACACCTGGCAGATTGGGAGAGGGGACTGCTGGAAATGCAGTAAGTTGTCTTGGGATGCTTTGGTGATACCTGGGAAGTGATCTAAGGTAATTGTGAGTTAGGGTGGGACGTCGTTTTGAAGAAGGGAGAGAGGTGGCTTATGCAGAAGCAGCAGCAGTAGAGCTCACTGGAATGTGCCAATATTGGTCTGGACTGTGATGCTTTTTAAAATAAAAAAATATGAAGAGTAAGATACGCAAAGCCTTTTTGAGATAACAGTGGGACAAATGTGTTTTGGAAGTGCCCGTGTGCCAGCAGTCACAGATAGGAGTTTTTTTCAAGTTGTGAAAAATGGTGTTTACCAGCACTGCTGCTTTCCAGTGGGGGTCCTAGACTAGAGGCTTGGAGCAGCAGAAGGAAGCAGAGGCAGAAGCCTTCCATAAATTTCTCAGTATTAAATAAGGCATTTTGCTTTGTAAGGTGGATTTTAGTTTTGTAACTACTTTGTGTTTTCAGGCAGTGATGATCAGCTGTGTATATGAGTTCTGTTGTGCCTTACTGCAGGGTTTATTTCACACTTTCATTTGTCATGGTCATTAGTTAATATTTAGAAATTTTGCACTGTTGGGTGTAGAAGGAGTTGTGTGTTTTTTGGTTAAAAGGCAATTAGCTGTCATGAAGGGATGCTTTCCATATAGCTGCAGCAATATTGTACCACATTAATAAATAAAAGTAATTTTGATCAAAGATGCTTCCTCTGATAAAACTGGTAGAAAAGAGTTCACCAGGTCCTTTCCTACCAACTTGGTCTGTCTCATTGGTACCGAAGGTTGGTTTTCTGTCTTTCTGGGGTGGTGCATGTGGTCTCTACAGCTGTATATAGCAGCGTTAGAGCCTGTTCTGAGGTGAGTTTTATGAATTTACATCCTGTTTGTTTAACTGCAAATACAATCTGGCTGGTAAGTGCAAGCTCATTTGCCTGCTCACCATGCAGTGTTGGTACTGTGTTGGGCACTGTATTTAAGCATCCGTAAAAATACCTCTCTGTGTTTGCTGGCGAAGTAGTCAGGGCTTTTGTTTATTTACCACAGAAGATAGTGTATTCAACCAGTGAAGTGTCGCTTCCTTCCCAAGCACTGTGCTTGCCAGTGACTCAGGATTGCTGCATCTGGCACGACCAGTATGGTTTCCTGTAGCACCTGTGGTAGGAGGATAATCCGGGAAGTTCCTCTGTCATCGTTCCTGCCCATCCTGTCGTGGTGAGCTGTTTCTTCAGTCTGCAGCTCCGCCTTGTGCTGCTCTGTCATGTGCAGATGGGTCAGGTCGGTTCAATGAGATGTGGTGAGGAAGCTTTTCATGGGTAGCAACTGAAGAACTGTTTCAAATGAGGACAGCTCATTGAAAACACAAAAACACCCAACAGCTTTCTTCTCTCCTTCATGTTGTGGTCTGCTCACCATCACCTGTTAACCACAGGCGGAGAAGGGAATGCAAGTTGAGCTGTGGCTCTGCTGGGAACCTGCATGGCTTTGAGGAGATGTTAATGTTAATTTGCATTATTGGCACAGCACATGCATGCTGAGTGTCAGGGATAGCACTGATCTGCGCTGATACCAATGCTGTTGATGAAAAATGCAGCACACTGTGAGGAAACCTCAGTATGGGTGGAGCACAGGACTGTGAGATGTGTGCTCTGCTGTCAGTGCTCCCACAGCTGCATTGTCAGTCCCATGGGACCTGTTCTGCATTGCACAGACGGTTGTGCACAGTCAGAGGCTCTCCCAGGTCAGAGTGTGCCTGTTTGTCTGCTTTCAGTGCTGTGTTACAGCACGTAGGGATGTGTCAGTGCCACAGTTTCCTCTCTGCCTCCCACACACATGGTGTCCTCAAGACTTGCCCAAAATCTGTGTCCCCATTCGCATTTCTAGCAAATGGGTTCACCGTTGACCTTTGGGTTAAAGGCTCCACATGTGGAAGGTCTGAGTCACAATCCAGATATGTATTTTGATAAACTGTTTAATATATTGAGTGTCTACTCCTTTTGCTTTATTATTGTTTCCTTTATTACGAATTATATTACTCCATCTTTGATGCTTACTGTAAGTAATTATTACTGTTTTGTTACAGAATGTGCCCACTTGCTTTTAGCCCATAATGCTCCAGTAAAGGTGAAAAATGCTCAGGGATGGAGCCCTCTTGCAGAAGCCATCAGCTACGGAGACAGACAAATGAGTAAGAACCTCTGCTTCTTGATTAACCAGAAATGGGGGCCTCATTGGCTGACACGCCAGAGGGCTGTGCTGCCATCCAGCGAGATCTGGACAGGCTGGAGAGTTGGGCAGGGAAGAATTTAATGAAATATAACAAGGGAAAGTGCAGAGTCCTGCATCTGGGCAGGAACAACCCCAGGTTCCAGTATAAATTGAGGAAAGACCTTTTGGAGAGCAGTGTAGGCGAAAGGGACCTGGGGGTCCTGGTGGACAGCAGGATGACCATGTCATCCAGCACATGCCAGCACTGTGCCCTTGTGGCCAAGAAGGCCAATGGCATCCTGGGGTGTATCAGGAGGGGGGTGGTTAGTAGGTCGAGAGAGGTTCTCCTCCCCCTCTACTCTGCCCTGGTGAGACCGCATCTGGAATATTGTGTCCAGTTCTGGGCCCCTCAGTTCAAGAAGGACAGGGAACTGCTGGAGAGAGTCCAGCGTAGGGCTACAAAGATGATCAAGGGAGTGGAGCATCTCCCTTATGAGGAGCGGCTGAGGGAGCTGGGTCTCTTTAGTTTGCAGAAGAGGAGACTGAAGGGAGACCTCATTCATGTTTATAAATATTTAAAGGGTGAGTGTCACGAGGATGGAGCCAGGCTCTTCTCGGTGACAAACAATGATAGGACAAGGGGTAACGGACACAAGCTGGAACACAGGAGGGTCCACTTAAATTTGAGAAGAAACTTCTTCTCAGTGAGGGTGACAGAGCACTGGAACAGGCTGCCCAGAGCGGTTGTGGAGTCTCCTTCTCTGGAGACATTCAAAACCTGCCTGGACGCCTTCCTGTGCAACCTCATCTAGGTGTTCCTGCTCCGGCAGGGGGATTGGACTAGATGATCTTTTGAGGTCCCTTCCAATCCCTAACGTTCTGTGATTCTGTGATTCTGAGCACAAGAACAAACATTTTTCAGGCTAGGTTTTATTATAATACCCCTGGTTTAGCTCTCTGAAGAGTTTTTCTTAATCAGCTAAAATTTTGTATATCTAAATATGATATGACAAGCTCTACACATGTCCATTTCCATGATAAGAAGAAAATTGCATTAGGATACATAAGACTAAGTAGAGTTAAGATTAGATTGATAAAAGCTATAAAGTAGCATTCTGTATTTAAAATTGGATGTACAAGGTCAGAATGGGATCTAATTCCAATCTAATTGGACCCACTCTGTGGTCATATGTGTATTTGATGGATCAGTTGGTAATGGGGTGTTTCTTTTATGTTGCATCTCAACAGGCCAGTGGGTAAATATGGTGATACTTACTTCAGATATGAAGTAGTAAAGGAAAAATTATTCTACTGCTACTCACTAGTGCATGTTAGTAGTATTTAGTACTACTGTGTTGCATAGCAGAAAGCTCACTCTCCTGAATCATAATATATTGATGCACTCGTCTGTAATACACTGACAACATTCTGCATGCCAGTTCCTCACTCCTAAAGAAATTTATTGATAGGAGTAGATATTACACGATCTGTAGGCTCATGTTCAGTGATACACGTGTACCCACACATTTACTAATACACATGTACAAGACCTTCAGACATAATTGTGTACTTTATATTGTAAACAATTATTGAGGCTTTTCTTCCTGTTGTGATCAGAGCAAGCTATGTGTAATTACTGTAGCTTTGCATTAATTTCCTCAAAGTCTGTCAGAATGTTGCATTTGCATTGGTTTTGCGCTTTTTAAGATGTCAAATAATGTCACTCACCTGTAAATAACAAACAAATAGAACGGATTTACTTTATAGTTGACTTCTGTGTAGTTACAGCACTCTTGAGGAAGCTCAAACAGCAGTCCAGGGAAAGTGTTGAGGAAAAGCGACCTCGATTATTAAAAGCCCTGAAAGAGGTAAGTTCATGGCAGTTGCATTGTCAAAAACAGATCATGATGGAAAGCAGTGGTTTACATCAGTATGGATGCTCAGGCAAACTGCAAGCCAAGATTGCTATTAAGGGCAAAAGATTTATAAAAGCAAGTAAAGCTCTTCTTTGCAGTGTCTGTTATAAGAGGTCACGGAATTATGTGCATTTTTACAATACTACTTCCTTCTCAACTTTTAGAAATTCAAATAGCAAGGTTTATGTAAGACAGACCCACCTGTTGTCTTTGCAATCTGAATGTATTTTTAATCTGTATTTATATCGGTAGATTTTTCAGGCTTTCTAAATCTTCTGTATTGGCAAATAATGTGCTGGTTTTGTTCAGTCACCAGTCATGAATGACACTTTCTTTTCCTGCATAGTGATAAAAGAGATTTTTGGTTTAATTCTCCATCTACTTCAGCAGCCACTTCTTGAGCATGGAGAAACATTGTTCAGTTTAGGGAAATGAGAAGAAAAGCTCTGTTTCCTCAGTTTCAGGCTGCTGCTGGTGTGCTAATGCTGTGGTTATAAGACCCAGGTGTTTATTTCCCTTTAGGTGAGGTGAGCTTCTGCCTAGTCAAGTGGTAAAATATGAATGGGGTTTTTAATAAAAAAATAATTAAAAATGTGTAATGTAATTCTATCATTATTGATTCTACTCCAGTTAAAGCTTCAGAAATGTTTCAGTTCAGGATACATTCAAATACTAACATTAGAGAAGTTTTCTTTGGCAAAACAACTTCTACCTCTTCTTCAGCAAACAGTACCGTTGTTGTGTAGACTAAAAAGCATGTTAATGTATTCTTTTAATCTCAGCTAGGTGACTTCTACCTAGAGCTCCACTGGGATTTTCAAAGTTGGGGTAAGCAATCGCGTGGCCTTTTCCAAAGGGAGATAATGCAATCGGTCTCCAGCACATGGGTGCTCTCAGGCTTCAATTTGCTTCTGTTTTGCATGTGGTAAAGCTGTAAAGCTCACAGTCCAGCTCTCAAGATCTAAGTTATAAAGAAAGGACAGACAGCTTTTTTGCTGAATTAATTTTGCTTACTTGTTTTTCAGTCTAACACAATATGGGGGAAACAAGCTGTTGATTACTTTAAGAAATGGATTATTAGAAAAGTAAAATATTAAAATATCTCTTGGGTCAATTTGTGTCAGTGTAAAGCAGTGGTTTGCACAACTTAGTTGAGTAACTGCACTTGGGGCATTTAATTCTTGTATTTCAGCCTGTGCTCTGAACGGTGGCAGTCAGTGAAGTGTAGCCATGTGGTGGGATCTCCAAACCTTACCTTCACCCTGATGTTTCTGTTATGTGGCTGTGTAGCTGCCTCACAGGGTCCTCTTCTCCAGGACCTCACTGTGCCTCTGTAGCATTATTTAGTAATTTCTGTATATTTTTTTCTTGAAGAGAAGATGCTCTGAGCTGTGCCTCTGTCCTGATTAGTGGCTCTCTAGGCTAATTACATTTTACAGGTGGTCCTACTTCTTTGTAGCTTGTTTTGAAGAAGGTGTTGAAATGCGGTTGTGTTGAACTGGCTTTATTGCTACAAATTAAATTGTTCTTTCTAGAATACAGACAGCTGTGGTCTCTGTCCCTCTAGTGACTCTGTACTGGCTGTCAGCTCTGCTGCTGGTTTCATGCTTGCTTCAGGTTTTAAGCTTAGTGCATTGCAAATTTTTCTGCTTGTGGGTGTTCAACTTTAATTGTAGCGAGGCTTTAAGTTGATACAAGATGTAAGTTAACTATTGAATCCTAGAATTACAACTTCAAACAGCTACAAGACAAGTTCCTAAATTTATAAATTATTTAGCTGTGGCTGAGGACATATCAAATTATGGCCTGATGCTGAAAGTAGGTTGTGCAATTACAAATCAATGTTGGGGTTATGGAAAAAGCACTGGTATTAGTATTGAGATGATGATGGAAAATGGGTATGCTGTACTTGCATTAAAATACACCGAGATTCAAACTGAGGTAGTTTTAATGGAAATACTCTACAAAGAAACCTCAGTGTCCTAATTGTATTCTCTCTCTCTCCCTGCCTTTAGTGCCTTTACTATCCCGAATTCTGCCTTCTGATGCGTGTAAAATACACAAACAAGGTATAAATATCAGGTGAGTGATGATTTTACAGTGTGTTTATCTAAGGCACAAAGATCAGTGTGATTTGGGAGGAATGCCTGAAGACTCAGCACATGTTGGTGTAACAGTCTTGGGTTGGTGGTACCTTGGGTTCAGAGGCAAAAGCAACTGCAGATCCACTTCAGATTCTCTTTTTTCTCTGTTGATCTGAATTTAACTTCAGTTCCTGAGTCACTTAGAAATACAAAGCAAAGGCAGTGAAGCTGTATAAGGCTTTGTCTACCAGATGTGACAACGTTTAATTGAAAAACAGAAATTTTATGTTTTTAACACGGTTTCAAGTAAATTTGATTTGAGCTTGATTTGCCTTTGGGTGCGAGAGACATTATCTATTCCATCCAAGCTCGCACGAGAATGATCACTTTTCTTAGCATATTTATACACACAACTTTCAGGATTTCACAATCTAAGTTACAGTGATTGGTTGCAATTTAAATATAATGCATTTAAATATTTGCTTAATCATTCTTGAATCAACTGCACTTGTGTACAAGGGGTCTTTCGGTGGTCCCTGGGGGATCTGCAGAGGCGCTCTTAATGTTCTTGGGGTTTTTTTTAAACTGTATTTATTAATTCTTTAATTTCCCTTATCAGCCAGTGTCTCGTAGTCTATCTGCAGTCCTTCAGAGTGTACCAGGACCTATCAGTGTGCCGGGATGTTTCGGCTCCAATTACTAAGTTGGCTCCAATGATAAAGAAAACATGGCCTTGAGTGCATTCCTG